TTTAAACTAGCAATAGCATTAGAAAAATAAGAAACGGAGTAAATGTGAAAATGCAATTAAAAAAAAAAAAAAAAAAACTACCAGTATATATAAACACAGAACGAAAGAAAAATAATACACGACGTCAATGGCGTGACATATAGATTCGTTTTGTAAATACATGTGCATGATGTGTGCGCTTCTCAAAACACGTGCTTTTCAAAAACGCACTGAGCAGTGCTTCGTAGCATTATTTCATAGCCAGCATTTCCTAATTTCTACATTTCTCAACTTAACAAAAATATCATGATTTGAAAAGTTTCTGTTGTGTAATTTGTCTAAGATTCGGCACTGCTAGATAAAAGAACCACTAATTTAAATATGCCACCTAATTATATTGATGTTCGTTAAAAAATGTAGTTTTTACAGTATTCTTTTGCGTGTGTGTACCTTTCCCAGTATCTGTTTCTTTCCATTACCAAAGGCATTTACTAGAAATGTATATCGCTTCACGTATCCTATATGCTTAATTTCGCTAGCATCTCTCCTTCCTATTTTTTTTTTTTTTTTTTTTTTTTGGAAGTAAAATTTTTCTAATATTCACGAAAATATTCTGCAACAGTAGATGCAGAAACAGCAAAGTCAGGCTCGCATATTTGTCCTTTGGTCGCATCCAATTTTGAGAAAACCATCATTTCCCAACTTTTACGACTTAGTGGCGGCTCTCCGAAAACTTTCAGCTGACGTCTCCCTTGCGGAACGTAAAATATGCAAAACTTTGGCACAATGGCATTTCCTTGAATTGTTTTGCTCATGTACCTTGGATGAGAGTTTTTTTCTTTAGGAATAAAAACATACAAATGTGGTAGAAGAGCTCTCGTAATGCAGGCAATGGAAACACGTTTCTGTATAGGCGTAAAATAGGTAGGCATCTGTGGGAGATGTTAAAGGTCTTCGTGATGTTTCGAAAAAAACGTGTAATCTTCTCTTTACTAAACTAAAGACTGCAGATAACATTTTATGACCTCGTGGATGCAAGACATGCTAACCTACGAAACAGACTGAATGCCTGCTCGTGACTTAACAAATTCCATTCCTTTAAGATCAATAGGAGTACTTAGATGAGTTTCTTACTTGCTGGTGCGAAGAAGCTCGTCAGTGTTTATGAGAACGAACATTAGGCTGCCATCGGGGATGTTTATAGCTATCATCCAAGTCGCTTTATTCTTAAACATCTTACTATCGATTTATTCCTGAACGAGAATGCTCTTTTATGGACGAGTGACCGATTAACCATAACATTTTCTGAATTTTCTTAACTTCCTGTTATCAAGTTTCGGCAATAGATTTTGCAAATATTACTTACACAATTTGTTCCAGCTTCTTATGATATGATAATGGATATCTAATCTTAAATAATACTAAATTGAAGTAAGGTTTTTCCTTCCATAAATTGCACTTCGAGGAATTTACTCATTGTTGTTTCATCATAAAGACCTGAGTTTGAAACGTACGTTTTCTTTTTCTCTTTTTTAAGTAATGTTGTAAGGATCCTAAGTTTTACTAACGTTAATTTTATTTTAAAACTGTACTATCACTTCTTATTTTATACTTCCGGCCAGAATTAAATGCTTTAACTTGTTTAAGCAAATTGTCTTGCTAACGCCCAAGTACTTAAGTTGTGGCTTTTTGCCAAGCGGGAGAGAGAAGGAGTTTAGGAATCAAGCCGCTTGCCACTGTAGTTTTACGAGTTTTCACTCTGTTGCCGGTTGCCTTTAAGGCTAGAGCTTTAACCCTCTTGATATTTGCAGACGTATCGTAGTTTTAGCAGCTTGGGGTACTACATACGTACCTTTATTAAATAAAGGCCAGTCTTAGTGCTAGGCATTTGTATACTAATTCAAAGTTAGTTTTTAGTTAGAGTTTTAGTTAGTAGTTTTTATATTCTTACGTTCAGACCACAAGTAGTTGGTCTCTGTATTCCGAAGTTCGGAAATACCTGTAAAGTATTGAAAATAAAGGGTTTCGTATACCCTTCCTGCTTGTGTTGTCTACTTCACACCTTCTTGAATATAGCTTGAGTAAGCTCCCTATTCCTACTCAAGATCATTCATGTTTCCAACGCAACTGAAGAGAGACGCAAGTCCTGACAATGTGTCCATTGTTTTTGTGCTTCTCGCCTAGGCAATTTACATTTTAGTTTTCTAAAAATTATGCAGAACTTCCTAATCGTTATTTTTTGCTTCTTTTTACCCACCGATTCACCGATTTACCATAAAGCTTCAAAGTAAGACTTCTAAAAATCCATCTTCAACAGAAAAGTTTAGATACTAAAGAATGTTAAGTGAAAAAAATTTGTTTAACATTTTAATTATTAAACTAACTAAAACGCTAGTTTGAGATGAATTCTGAACTGCAGCTAACATCCAAGTGTCATTTTAAAAGATAAGTATTTCAAAATTTTCGAAACATGTAACAGTATAACAGTGAGTGAATATGGCGCAACAATGAAGAAAATTAACGTATAGAAACCTATAAAATAAGAAATTTAGAAAACTGCATACATCAATTTCTTTGTTTCTACGCTAAATAAAAACTTATGAATTCATGAGAAAGAAAGTAACAAAGTAAGAAAATAATTGCGCCGTACTTTAAAAAATGCTGTATGTATTATTGTTGAAGTCTTGGTTAGTTAGAAATATTTTCGCAGTTACTCTATCTTGAAGTTTTTAAACATTCTTTCCCAACAAAGTGAGTTCAACACATCTATGTTACATAAATCTTAGCTTGTTGTATTGTTAGAAGAACTTCCATTCGTCTCAAAAACATCTTATTCTTGATCCACTACACCCTTGTTTTTATTTTGTTATAATGTTACCTATAGAATTAGTATTGAAATACTTTTAAATTTATAATTTTTTAAAGTAAGATATCATAATATGCATTATTTTAAAGCATGTCTTTCACTAAAGAGAACGAATTATTTTTTAAGACAACATAATATTTACATAAGAGAGAATAAAGTATAATTAATTAACGAAATGAAGAACGTTAAATAAATCTTCCGCAAACTAATAGTTGAGCGATTTGTTTTTCCGAATTTATCATTATTAAGAACTTGTTATAAATAACACTGCAAAGAACACCCGAAAGCGAAATTAAACTAGCTTTAATTTACAAAGAAGTTGTTTCTGGAGCAGCTTTTATTGGACTCCAAGTAATCCTAAAATTGATGCCTTCTTTTAACTCTATAATCGAACGTGTGATACCTCAACAGCTGCTTTCCATTCTAAGCCTTTTTAATGTCACGACGTTGCATTTGCATTTAAATGCATTAGCACGCCGTCTCCATATCTAGTCGTTTTCTTAGTGTTTTGTTCGCCACGTAAACAGAAAGTCGTGAGAACCGAATTTCCATTCCTACTGTGGTAAGCGGAGCATTTAAAGAAAAGAATGAATGTCGCCGTACTAAATAAGAGACTTTGGGATGATAATTTATTCGATTTCTTAAGAGTCACCTTTACATCTGCAAGAACTTATTAGCTAGGAGAGAAAGTTGTTATTTGCCCCGCTTTCACACACATCATTATATAAGTTTGTTTTGAAGTGAAGGTTTATTTTTCGAAGAACATTATCTATAAATTAAGCTACTTCTCATCATCATAGCTTAGGAAGTAATGTATGTTATTTCTCTTCTTTGTTGCGCTGCTAATCTATTAAAATGCGCTAAAGGGGAGACTTGAAGCTATGATGCTTTGAGGTGCGTGTCATATGGTCCAAATTTACCTATATGATATTTTGATGGCTCGGTTTGCTTTATGAAAGTGTAGTTAAAAAGTAAAATATAAGCTTTATGTTACCTGCATTTTTTCTGTGAATTCGTGTACAGTGTGGAGTTAATGCAAGCTTAATAGATATATGACGATGCAAGCAAATTTGTTAAAGATTTAAATCCTTACTTAAACTGCAATTTAAGTACAGGGAGTTTCTAAATGAATATCGGGGTTTTAACTCTTTGTGGTATTTATTACGTAAAACTTAAAAATCATAATACATGAAATGACACAGCAACTAAAACAGTTTATGTTCTCTGGTATTGTACAGGCTCTAAAGCCTACAGACCATAATTCACGTGCCAACTTTGCACATGAAATGTTGTTGCACGGCGATTTTCTGGATCATGTTGTTTTCAGTGAAGAATCGACATTTCACCTCAGTGGACATGTGAACACTCATAATATGCACATCTGGTGCTCAGAAAATCCTCACGAGATGGTGCAATTGCAACGAGACTTCCCTAAGTTGAATGTTTTTCTTTTGTGCCATATCTCGGGGAAAGTTTGTGGGCTTTTTTTCTTTGAAGAAACAATTGTAACTTATACTTCCTACCTTGATGCTCTACAACTATAGCTATATCCCCAGTTGGTAGAAGACTCAATTAGTACCAACGTCCCCAACTAGTAGAAAACAATTACATTACAAACACTAATGAACGTTTGGGAAGAACTGGGATATCGACTTGATGTGTGCCTTGTGACGAAAGGTGCTTACATTAAACACTTGTAAGCTTGTATAGGTATAACTGTTTGAGCGCTCTTTCATTTCATATATTAATTATGATTTTAAGTTTTACGTAAGAAATACTACAAAGCATTAAACCCCCGATATTCACTTAGAGACACCCTGTGTAAAACGGTTACCCCTAGAAAACTCTCCACAAAAGCAATTTTTCAAGTAAGATAGTTCTCATGGGTTTTGATGCATTTGAACTGTCAATCGTATTGTCAGTTTGATATCTTAAAATCGAAACATATAACATTTATTTTTAATATTTTAAAGTATTCTGAGGGTAGGATCTATGCTGCTGTTTTTATATTCTGGTCCCAAATTTTTAAAAACCTTTTGTAGTTGACTGTCGTAGTCGTGCCGATGGAAATAAGAATCATTGTATTATCCGTAGAGTTGGGTTCATTTTCATCTCGCATGTTACTGTCGATCGACGCATAGATGACATCTTTTTATTGTTTGTTTAACATTAAACTTTAATAAGTAAACAATTCTTGATTATTACACATTATAGGTAGAAGCATGAATAGGTATGTCCGGCATTGGTCTCCGCCGGATGAGAAAACAATCTCTGCATAACCAGAAAAATGGCGACGGCCCTTCAGCCACAAAAAATCGAACCGTCCCGTCCGACATCCTTTCGGATGTCGGACGGTCCGAAAGGAGACAAAGTCCCCTTGCCCTCATTGTCTCCTTTTGTCCTATCTCTCTTTTTTTTTCATGTTTTTCATTATTTCCTTCCAAAAACCACTCGGCGCCCGCCACGGATGGCTCCGTCGGACTAATTATTCTGCTGGCCAAGCTTTTCCTTCTCCTTCTCGGGCTATGGGCATTACACCTTTATACCTGTAAAATATAAATACTTGCAGAAACAGATATACCAAAGGTCTGGCATACTTATAAATTAAATCTACAGTCCGTATTTACGTTATTTGATCGGTTATAAATGTATATAAAACAAATTTAATAATGAAAATTAGCTTTAATGATATTTACTACAGTTATATAAACTGCTGAATAATTATTATATTCAACTTAAATCATGCTTAGAAAGTCTCAATAAAACTTACGAATTTAACGGAATCAAAATTAAAGGAAAAGTATTTTAGAACAACATACTATAGAATCAACTTCACTATTTGAATGTATGATAAGAACCAGAAATATCAGATAGCTACAAATGATTTGCGCTTAAGTGTAGGGAAAAGTAATTAATTTTAATTATGAGTATGCTTGGTAGAGCCTAGAAAATTATACACATTTTTTGACATCTTTGTAGCTCTGACTTTTAAACTGGCATTCGTTCTGTCTCATCAGCTATAACTTTATGCATTCAGCCTAGTCATCTTATGTGCCGAATGAATTGAATTATGGATTTATGGCAAATAAATTATGGATATTGGTAGTATTAATATATATATAAGCATCATTATGGTCATAACTTAATCGTTATTATAGTTTAGTGTAATATTAGAATTAGGTTAATACATAAAATTTGATTAAAATTTTTATACATTTAATACTACTTAGACGTACTTAAAATTAATGACTTAATTATATGCAATGTATTACATGCATAAAACAATCACATAATGCTGCAATTGAGTTTTCGATCAATTTAATTCCGATAACTTTGATAGTATTCCTGATTCAACGGTGCATAAAATTAATCAACCCTTCAATACGCACAAAGCTTCTTTTATGACATTTATTAGGGTGAGGTTTACACAACAGTCTAGCTGTTGTCTCTGTCTGTTGTCGGTCATAACGTGAATGATATCCCAATTCCCTTGGTATTGCCTTCCGTAAATTTTATGTCCTGCTGAAACAGTTTAACTTTCTTTTCTCTATCACGAAAGTTTTCTGGAAAACGATTTAATTGTGTAGCTTATCAGATACCATTGTGTAGCTTATCAGGTATGATGTTTATATTACACCCAAACCTACTGAACTTCAAAAACATATTCTGTATTAATTAAGAACACTTCTGTATCTTACGTATGCCAAGAAGGTTTTAAGATAGCTAAGAAACACACGAGAACTAATCATGATATTTAATCATGCCGTCGAAGTTATGAAAAGTGAATCTATTATATGGTGTCTTAATTAGGAACTACTGAAAATTCCATTTGCCTGTTTTCCGTACTCTGTCTAGAGAATGTTCTAGACAAATAACTAACGGATTATCTTTCCTTATTAAAAGCTTGTTTCGTCAGATATAGTTTGGTAAGTAATGATGACAGCGTGGTTTTGTCTCTGTCAACCAAAGATTGCATACTTTTACTTTGCCATAGTTTTTCTCAAAGGTACTCATTTCACATCCAGAAGACATATTTTGATTTGTTGTTTTAGGATCTTGGCAGCATGGACGTTTTGCGTATCCACTTTGTGACCAAAGAGAAAGCATTTTTTTTTTTTAATATATAAATTATCTACCCAAATCATTCCTTGGTGTTGCTGATACTTCATCACTACTCTTCTATCATACCGATGAAGTAAAAATTTGGAATTAGCTTAATTTGTTAATTTTGTGTAAAATAAAGCAAAATAATGAGGACCCTATGCCATTTCTGAAATCAGCGTCGCAACTGGACCTATGTTTACTTTTAAAGCACCAGAAAATCAAAAGAAAAACAACGTGTTATGTATAACGCTTACATACTTTTTGTTTATGAACTGGCATACTGCATCAAGGTCACGCGTAACGCACAAGGTAAAATAAACTAACGCTTAAGAAATTTCCCAGCAAAAGCTATAACAGAACTCATAATCTGCATACATATCATATATTTAATGATAAACTGATTAAAAAACAATGTGTGAATATAGTGTGATTTGACTGAGTGTGAGATTTGATTTGAATGAGTATAAGAAAGGAAATAGTTAAAAGAATTTCAAATACATGTAGGAAAAGCTTAGCAACTGTACAGCTAAAATTATTTTTTGATTGAGTGCGTTTATTACTTATTCGCAATTTAATACGTGAAGAAATTTGTCTTCGGAGAATACTATATCTGCTCTTTGGAATACAAATTATCTCGAATAAAAAGGGCCAAAAATCTGTTAATGTATCTTAATTTCTATGACGCTATTCGATTGCTTGTTTATATTCCCAAAAAAATATTAGAAGAGAGGTGATGTGGAGGAAAATACAACCGAAAAGGGTCAGGGGAAAGACGAAGTCGTTTTGAGAACACTAAAGAAAATTGTGCTTTGAAATCTCATCAGAAATGACAAGTATCAAAAAGTACTGGCTATTTACTATAACGTTTGGAACATACAGGCACTCGATAACAATATCTAAAGCAGCTTAATTAAATAGCTACTGGATTACCACAATGCGTACGAGGGCTATATTCATCCCCGGAAGGGTCATCTGCCTGTAAGAAATTTTAGAAAAGTAGGTTAGTATTTGCAGAAAAATAAGAATAATGATCTTTGGTATTAGTCCTTTTGGTCCTAATAATTAATTAATGAAAGCAATCAATTACCTGATTCATTTCTTTAATAATTAGCCAAATACTTCCTTTATTCTAACCTCTCCTTCCCTTTAAAATAAATAAGAAATTGCCTTTATACGAGCAAGCTCAAATTAAACGTTGTCGTTCTAATTTGACATATAAAGGAATGAAAGAAAGCTAGTAATGCTACTACACTTTACTATCTTTTAATTTATTTACAAGCGTATATCTAGCAAAGAAAAGATTGTTCATTGTTTCTAACGGCTCTGTAGTCAAAAATACCGGGTTCTTCGACAACAGTCCATTATTCCTTAATGTTTTAAAATAACCAACGAGTTTTTTATGCTCCCCACACCCTCTTCATTTGAAAAATGAAAGAATCCAGTTGCTAAGGGAAACGAATGCACTAAAGAAGTTGTCCCAGTTCATTGGAGATGCTTGGAACCCATTTCGTCTTCCCCAAAAATAAATATCAAGAAAGGTTGGAACTCGATTCCACGCAGTGGGGAGCGCTTCACAATCCATAAGGCGAGACAGACAATAGTGCTAACATTACTGGTTTGTAGTGATGTTTGAACAGGGCCGAAACAGGCTTAGCTTTGGGCTCAAGAGCTCAGTCTATTTATTTACCGAACGGTCTTCTTCGACCCGCGAGCTGTGTACATGACCCTCGGGGAACTTAAGATAGTCTGCCCAATTTGGACAACGCGTGCGACTAGCTGAGACCTCCGCCCTTGGGAGGTCTTTATTTATCTGGGCTCTTTCATACGCCTTACTTTTCTAGAGATCGACTCTCTCAAGTGTGCATTTACTTTGTCTAATTCATATTTTTTTTCGATATCAATTGCCATAAATTTACTGGTTCATACTCACCTCAAACAAGAGTTCCACCCCCTCTTTTTTTAACACAATCTTTTATCTCGCAAGCGGAATATTTAAATTATTCAATTATTCGTAGGCATTTAGAAAGTAAACCGCGCTTCAACTGTGTTTTAAGTAATATAGCAAAATTACAATGAAAGTTCATATTTAAAGCAAAGCAAGTGCACAGGGATTTGTTAGGAAAAAAAGGAAGATGGAAAATTCGAAAATTTCTTTTTTTCATAATAAAAGTTATAACAGGCTTTGAAATTCAATAACATGTTTGAATCTTCCATTTTAAACATTTACGGTAACTATTTTAATTTTTGCGGGTGTTTTCAAATTAAATTAATCCTGTTTTTCTCATTGCTTCTGAGATCTTCATAAACTGATTCCTGTCGCTTCTAACTATTCGAGAACCTTTCCCTAATCATTATATGGAAGCTGTTTAACATTTATTTTAATTATGCTTGGACTTCTTTAAAAAAGTCCTTTAAAGTTTCTTTAAGAATTGACTTTATCATATTCCGGTTTTAATAGTTTTACTGACTGGAGGTGTAGAATTCACGCACGTAAAATGATGTTACTTTATAAAACATTAAAAATTTGAGCATGATTTCAAGACAAATGTAAGTAAACTCTGTATCACAAAGGACACAACAAGCAAGTCATGTGCAGACAGAAATTTTGTTTGGTTTATTTGTTCATGGCAAAGCATGAAATGGCTATTTGCCTAAGAAACGAAATGGTTTTGAGGAGGATTTCCTAAGTAAAACTGACTCATATCCACGTTACAGATAGAGAAAACTTCGAAACAAAGCCAGCCCGTTGGTCAGTATTCGAACCTTTTCCACTGGCGTATATCACTCGGTCACTGGTGGGCACACAGGCATAACATCCTTATCATCCAAATGACTTGGTGAATTAACACTTCTTTTGCAGTGCTATGGTTCAACGTGGTATAAGATATTTATCTCCCAAGATAAAATTATTTACTGTTGAATAGACTGAAAGATTTACTATACGCATCAGCAGAAGCAGTACTGTAGGCATCTCTTTATTACTTCTTAATTTTACTTTTAATAATAGCTTTTAACTGGTGTAATTCTTAACACGTCTAACTGTATAATTTATCTAACTCATAAATTTTCTAAATATTGTGCAGATTATATAAATTGTGCACTGCTATTCCATTATTGTGCAGATTTATTAGGCTATATCGATTCTGGAACGTGTAAATTGTGCAGTGAACGTGTAAATTGTGCACTGCTATTCCAACGCTGGACTTCCCGAATAGGTGCCGAATATGCTTCCAATTACACCAAGAAGGCATGAGGAAAGAAGGGAGAATATAAATTATAACACTCCCCCCACTTTTAAAGGGCGACCCAATTGCCAAATCCTGGTGATGACGACTTATCGTCCACCATCTTTTAGTTCGGGCGCCACTGTACAGTCATTTGGTTTCCTTAAAGCAGGAGACGTGAGGAATGTGCAGTGTCCTCTCCGGAACTCGAATACGCG